AAACCCCAAAGAGGAGATCAACCTCTTGACGAATCCTTCTTCTTAGCCACATTTAACCAATGATCCTCAATCATCCCAAAGGATCAACGATAGTCTCAGAGGACGCCCTGCCACAGAAGGGTCAGGGGTAGTTCAAGAGAATGCCCTACCGTAAATATTGCAGAGTCTCACGGACTTCCTAAATCGTGCCACCTCAACCCAGGTATAGGCAAGTTTAACCGAAGAGTGAATTTATCTCCACTCATCGTTCTCAGGATTGAGTCCTTTGTTCGAACTCCATCACGCCTATGGTTCTGGTGCGTAAATCTCGAAAAGCTCCGAGCTCACAAGTGTTCAGGGACTCATTAAAGGAGTGGCTTATGGATTGTGTCAGAATCCGTTCAAAGCCAAGCGCTTGGAATCTCTAGGTTTGTGGATCTTAACCCTTTCGAGTCCGAACTCAAATAAGTCTCTAGGTTCAAGGTTCTAAACGTTTTCGAGTCCAAATTAACTCAAATAGGTCTCTAGGTTCGTGGTTCTGAACCCTTTCAAGACTAGAGCAATCTGGCCCATTCGATAATGTCTGGATCCACTAATTTTGTACTTTTTGACTGGGCTTCGATTGAGCTTAATTAGTTAGATGGGTTTGAGTTAACCCTTCTTACAATAATTATATTGATTTCTCTTAAAGTTATGAAAATATAATTAATATTAATTTTTGTAATTAATTTTATGTCCAAAAAGTTATGAAAATATATAATTCAGTGTAAATTTTAAAAAGAAAATTACAAATTTTATGTATTAAATTTTAAAATTCAATTTTTTTTAATATATTTGTAAATAATTTTTCAAATGACCACTTAATTGTACTTTCTCTTAAAATTATAATTTTCCCATGTTGTCATAAATCGATCTTTATTTTGTTTCACCCTTTTTGGACTATCCTATGTAGGGGTGCACTTGGACAGGTTCGGTTGGGTTGAGAGGTTCTCCAAGCCTAGCCTAAATTGTGCTGAGACCTGCCCAGGCTTGAATTGTAATCTAAGATTGCCTGTCCAACCGCAACTCGAGTTAAACCTAAATTGTCCGAGTTGCCTGAATTGTAAATAAATTTCTTTTCTTTTCTTTTTTTTTTTTTCCTTCTTTCCATTTTTTTTTTTTTTTTTTGCAGCTACATTATCAAATTATTAAAATTTGATTCTATTTACATTTTTTTTATATAGAAAATCATTAATACCATCAAAACAAATAATTTATATATTATAAGAGAGATGTCGCTATTGTAGCCTTTATAATTTATGAGGCAAAATAAAAAAAAAAGTAAGATTTTATGTTATTCGTATATATAATATATATTCAATATGATTTAATAATTTAAATTATTTTAATATCATATAATGATTAATAATTATATATATTCAATATTTTATATATCTAAATATAATTTGGGTTTCAAATTACTCAAGTCATTTGAAGTTTTTATTAAAAATCATTCAAATTTAATTTACACTTTTTAATTTTTTATTTAAACTTTTATCGAATCAAAATATATTAGTCAAGTTTTCTAAAAAAATTGGAGTTGCACCCATAAACCATATTTGTTTGGCTCCATAAGATGAAAAAGATTAACAATACGGTGGGATTGAGTGAAAAAATTATTAGTATAGTGGTATTAGGTTGGAGATGTAGGATAAAAAGTGCTTGTTTGTACACTACCAGATTAGTAATACTATTGTGGGGATATATTTTTGAGTACTGACACGTGGCAAGGTGACACCGACGTGTGTAGACACCCCATTTTTGACCGACCTTAAGACTCAGACGTCACTGATTGAGTGCTCGGTGATATTGTATATTGTGCTCGTTCAGAAGTTTCAGAGTCTCGGCTGCGAGCCTTGCCTCCGGACTTCCGGGCTCTTGCGTGCTTTGCCTCGGTTCGCGAACCAGGCTTGGTTTTCTCTATTTCTCTTCCAGAAGGGAGAGAGAGGTCTCGTAGATCATCTCTTAGTGGCCGTAGGCTACGTTTTGTGGTCGTAGGCCATTTTGCCCGTTTGGAGTCCGGTTTCCGGTTTTTCGGAGCCGTTGGCCGTGTGCCTCGGTTCGGGACCGTTTAACCACCTTCGTTTGCTCCGATTTTTGGCATGCATCTTATTTACTCCCTTTTGAAGGACACTGCGGTCCGAAAAACCAACTTCGTGGTCGAACACCACTTCCGGTGCCTAACAGTCAGTTTTCGGGGCCTCGGGCTGCGCGTTTCGACCCCCGAACCTCTATTTTGCATCGGTTTGAGTTCATTTTTGGCAGGGACCTCTATTTCATTGATAGGAAGGTCGTAGAAGGGTGGGAGGCCAGCAATTCTTCTGACGACCATGTTTTATTCCTCCATCGCCCTCCGTCGCCCGTTTTTCCTACTTGAAAGCCAATGTTGACCACCCTAAGGCCACTTTTTCTTGCCCCAAACCACATATTTGTGTTGTACACACTTGGGAGGCCACCAATATCATATGGCCGGCCAGTAATTGTGTGTGACCCTTTTGAACCCCTCCTAAAAGTGGCATTTTCTTTCTCCTAGTTCATTCTCCCCAGTTTTTGACCACATGGTTGTGTTGTGCACACATGAGAGGCCCTCTTTTTGGTATGGCCGGCCATTAACCTTTATTAACCCTTTTGACCCTTGGCCGACCAGCCATGGGGAAGGCCGACCGGCCACCTAAACCCTAGGAAACCGGCCGGCCATGATCCTCTCTCCAGGTACTTTACAAAAATGCCCTCTGTTTCCCCCCAGATTTTGTATCCGGGGGGCCAACTTTTGGGGAGAAATTTGAATTCCATTCCCCCCATTTTCCCCCCCTTTTTTGCCTATATATCCAGGCCCTCCAACTCCTATTTGAGGGGTTAGAAAATCTTGTCTAAGCCTTCTACATTGTATCTCTCTCTCTCTACACTCCAACCCTCAAAACCCCTCAAATCCCACACCCCTTTCTACACCACCACATAGCACCACATCGCCACCATCCTTTCCAACACTTGGAGCTGGTTTTCCAGAGCTTAGGAGCACCTTTTCTCAAGCCAAGAGCTGCTGAAGCTT